GCAAATAAAAAATTGAACCTGTGCGACTCCAACGAAATATGATCAAAAACGTCAAAAAACTACGTATGATCTGTAAACATACTGATGGTTCTACAAGTTTTCACATTATATCGTAAAGAATAAGATGAAACACACAGATGTGAGATATCATTATCAGTGAGTGATCTTTCTCAGAATCTAACATTTGAGAAATGCAAATCCAGCAATAGTCCAAACTACTGCGCTAAGTATGCTTTCACTATATGCTCCAGCAAGCTGTTTCAAACATTACCACTTGACGCTCAAAGCACAGGGCACGGGGAACTCGCTTCAAAGCTGGGACCACAAGCTTGTAGTGGTGTCCGCCTGTGCTGCAAGCTAGTCGCAAGTGGAGCAGTAGCTTCAGAATGAGGAAGTCACCTAGAAGCAGAGTGCGCTAGATTGTGATGAGGTCGACTTGCAACCGACGATATGCTTGGGTGTACAATTCCAGCGCCGCTAGAACCTGTCTTCCTACGGTAAGCCCCGCAGTAAACTGGGGGATGAGCCTAGTAGGGACGTGCTGAACCCGTTCGATTTTCTGCGCCTCATCTCGAGTGGTCGGGCAATAGCCATTTGAGCGCAAAGAGCATGCGCAGCCCGTCTCGGTACAGATTGTTCGTGTTGCTCACGAACTTCAAATCGTAACGTGAGAGCACGTCCTGGGTCCTACATGGAAGGTGTGGGATGTAGCATTTGGATGTCAAGAATGTACGTTCAACAGTTGCCACCCTTCCCCAAACTCATGAATACCGACTTGGATGGGTTCGCGAGGAGGCGGACTTCGGCAAACCACATGGAAAGACGGCTGAGGTCTTGTTGAAGCAGGCCGCAGTCGTCGGAGGTACTTATCAGTCTTTATATCTTCAGGTCATCCACAAACTAGATACACGGCGACCGAAGAAGCTTAGGTAAAACAATGTACGTCCCAACATCATACCTTAGGATACGTCCCTGGTCGAGGGAAACCAGTCAAGTCAGGTGGCTGCCGACTATTATACTCCGAACTTCGTCCAACGAGAAACTCGCGAATCCAATAGTGCAGTGAGCCGCCAACACCGCACACTCGCAGTTTGTGAAGGAGGACCTTATGGTTTACCTTATCGAGCGCTTTACTGAAATCGATGTAGATCACATCGATGGATTTAACCTGGCTCACTGGTTGCAGCCATTCATGCCCCGTCACGAGCAGGTTGGTGATGCATGAACGACCTGGCATGAAGTTGAGTTGCGCGGGAGTCACGAGATCTTGTGACCGGAACAGCCGTAGCAAACTTCACAATCGTCTCGCAACATTGATCAAACATGTGCCTGTAATTGTCTAGCTTGCTGGGGTTACCATCTTTCGGAATCAGCCTTGATATCGAGCATTTCCAGTCAAGCGGCAACAAACCTTTGGTCAGCGACTTGTTGAACGGGTCAGTCACAGTAAGCGATATGATGAGCGATAAGGACTTGAGAATCTGTGGGCAAAGCCCACCAGGCTTAGTGCTTCCAACGTTGGCGGATAGTTGACGGACCACTTCCACATCACAATTCAGACTGTCAAGTTCGGTAAGGGCAGTTGTACTTCGAACTCGGTATAGACACCTGGTCGTTTGCAAACACAGAAGCGAAGTGAGTCGCCAAGGCGGACGCACGCTCAGTGTTGAAAGTTAGAGACCATCAGTCCGCAACCTCTATCAATGGTAGGTCACCTGCGAGCTTCAGGTGTCGCTTCAGGTAGGCAAAGATTGTCTTCTGTGCGGTGTTTATCGCGGTTGCAAACTTCTCCTCAAAATGCCTACGCTTGCTCGTTTTCAAACTGTTGCATATATTTCGCTACTTTTAATACACCTAGTAGCCGTCGACCGAGCCAGAATGAATGTATTTGTCCCATAGCCTGCACTGTCGCCGAACCAGTCCACCATATTCCATGTCGAACCAATTTGGCTTAACCGGTCCGAGCTTCCGACATTTGAGAGGCACAAATCGGTTACACAATGAGTTTACTACATTATTTATAGCAGAAAAAGAGGGTTTCAATAGGTGCGGATTGCTTAACTGGCGGTTCGAGTCAGTTCGTTGAAATTCGTCTTCCAGTAGTTGTAAGCCAGTTGGAAGGCGTGGGGTTGCTGTGCCGGTAGCCCCTTGCTGGCAATAAGCAATGAGTGGTCACTTGCTGCGAGAGCCTCCAAGCTACAGATGTCATACATATGTTGTTCATAGTTTGTTAACATCAAGTCTAAACAGGATAAGATTGAGCGCAGTGTTCTACACGTTGGTTGGTAGATGTGTTATGCTGTCCCGGTTTCAATCACCATTTCAGCGAACCTTGCTTGACATCACAATCACCAGAATATGCAGACGACATTGCCCTCATCTGTGACAGCTCCCAGACGTGCCAAGCCGCGTTGGACAGATTAGCACTGCCTGTCAGCTGCTCCGGGCTTTGCTTTGCACCATCGAAATGCAAAGCGTTCCTCCAAGATTGGCAGCCATTGCCTCTTGCGCTGAACCTTGGTGGGGATCAGCTAGAAGTCGTTCGAAAATTCAACTACCTGGAAAGTTGCATCAGCGCCCTTGGGATCGAAGACGAGATCACGAACCGTATAGCAAAAGCTCGAAGTGTTTTTCTTAGTCTTCGCCACTTATGGCGGCGGCGCGACATTACTCTCATTCTGAAGGGTAGAGTGTACCATGTAGCGGTACGTTCGACCCTACTGTATGGTTGCGAAACCTGGCCCCTAAGATCGGCGGACATGAAGAGGCTAGTTACGTTCGACCATCGGCGCCTTCGCAGTTTCGCTCACATCTGGTGGGAACACTGCGTGAGTAACGAGCGTGTTCGACATCTTGTTTACGGCACAGGAAAAGGAACTGAAGCGCTCAGCACCGTCATTTCACGCACCAGGTTCCGATGGGCTGGGCCACGTGTTACGCATGTCAGCCCACCGACTTCCACGACGTGCGTTGTTTGCTCACCGGGGTTGTGGATGGAAGAAGAGAAGGGGTGGCCAAGCGACGACTTGATCGAGAGGAATGAAGGCCCTCACTTCGGAGCTGGCCTCGGTTGGAGCGTCACGGCTCCCTGGTTGGGGTCCAAAAGACGGTGAACACGTTTGGCTAGATACACTTGCTGACATGGCAAGGAGCGGGCCTCAGTGGCGTTCCTGCTGTGAGTTTCTTTGTCCCTTCCCATCCCTTTTAGACTCCCCCTACACCTACAATCTCATTTCGTACTTTAAAACATAATTTTTCTTTTTGCCTAGTAGCCGGCTGGTAGCTTACCGGAACGATGTCTACCCGTTGCTGGTAGCTCAGCTGGCATTCAACTGTTGTAGTTATTTTCCTTTACCTTTATGTATTGCGACACAGTAGCTGAGGTGTTCCGCACCTGTAAGTGACGTGTATTATGATGATGAATGATGGTGATAAGATCAGATCAGCGTATTCGAGGACACTGGGAATCACCGGAGTAGAAAACGGTGGCGATTCATCTGGTCCTGGAGACGCGGCAGCCAATCAAAACAACAGCTCAGAGGGCTGCGATAAAATGCACCCATGTATCTTTCGGCGCCTACGAGCACCACAACTTCGATTCGGTGAGTACACAGAGAAGACGGGATGTACAGCAATACGCCACCGATAGCTTATCACAACGGAAGCACGAGTAGCCACTAAAGGTAACTTCCTGTGTAAGTACCGCATCGTTCGACCACGTCTCAGCGAGTCCCACTACAGCTGGTCGCACAACTCATCGAGCATGTTTGTGAGACGACATACATTGGTGAAGGATACACGCAGGCGGTGGTAGGAACTATCTGGTGTGCTTGAAGAGTGAGCGAGCAATTTATCCGATTTCGCATTCGCGTTGCAACCATATGAGAATCCGTGATATGTAGGTTTGTTGCTCATTAATCAGTTCGCCGCTTGGCTCGATGATAGCACACCTGAGACGCTCTCGGTCAGCTGGATCCATATCCGGATGAATATGCACTCTTCTGTCCGTCAGTCTACTTGGCTTATTGTTGATCAGAAGTTGGAAGTGTCACCACGTTTTGCACTTCCTTCTGTCCTCGAATTGGTCTGACTGGTAACCACTGACCTGTCTGATTTAAGTGGTTCTGAAGGCATTTGGAAATTTCTACGGTGTTCAATGGGCCATGGAATTATGCAAACCATCGCACAATGCTAAAGCCTAGTCTCCAAGCGATGTACATTATATATTCCACGGCAGTTCATTTCGATCAAACTAATAAACTACGTTCAAGGCAACGAAGTATCGTGAATCCAAATGATATGGCTAGGGTTACCATGAGTGTAACAAGAATCCTGAACGGAAGATCAAGTAGAACAAAATAAGAAAATAAAGAAGGGAATGGGCAGGTAAAAACAAACCGGTTAGAAGGCAAGGGGCAACAGAAAGAATGCAGGGGCATGATTGACTCTTAACACGGATTACAAAAAGGAAGTAAATCAACACACATTAACATTAGTCGTGGTGTTCTGTATGTCCTAGTTTACGTTACTAAGTATGACGGAATTTTTGGAAAGCTACTGGAAGGCGTCATGCAAATAGGAATACAAAATCAAGTCGAGAGGCGAAAGCCACCGTCACTAGTGTGACGCCACAATAAAACATGGGCTAGTACGAGGTCTGCCGATTGGACAGCATGGCTGCTGTTGCCACCAGCCAGAGTGAACATTGGGACAAAGAATAGGTCAAACAGTAAACATAAGCTCTTGGGGAAAGAACTTAAAACAACTGGCCTTAGACATGAACCCTGAAGTTGTTAGGAAGCGCACCACGTCGAGGACGACGTATACCAAAGGAATGAGTACCATTGATGAGCGTGAAATTTCCGGAAAGCATTCAAACAAACATGGCAAATTGTTTGAAAAGACAGAAAATACACCACATTACTTTTATGAAACAGTGAGTAACTGTGAGTACGTTGTTTGGTGAGACACAATGAAGGGAGAATAGAGATAGCACGTACCAAAAACCCGTCCACCTGTCTGCACACCTGTTCCGCATACAAGCAACGGAAAGTGGTAAGGTGGAACGTTCGATTCGAGGTGTTTCGGGTACCGGTGATGCGGATGTAGCGAATGACACGAGTGGCGAAATGCAGTGTTTGCCAGGAGCGACAGGGGCAATTGCGATAGTCCACCACACGCTGCCATGTGACCTGATCCAGTGAGATCTCAACGTAATAAGAGTAGCATCTGCCATAGAGAAGGCCAGAGAAGAAAAGTGAGTGAGTCAGTAAAGACTGTGTACGGACTTCGAAAGCGGCTAAGCATGAGATCACATGAGACCACTAGACAAAGGATTACCCCGTGAGCTTAGCATGTCACAGCTGACCGATGAACCCACACAATAAGGCCAAGAGTGAGGCACGTGGTTCCGGATTCGTTTGCCACAATGACTAGGACTTGAGACGAAGTGGTCGTAGGTGTTGTCTTCACATATGAGTTTCAATCTGCAACTACCTGATCCCGAACGCGCACATTTTATTTCTTGCGAGTGAACAGGAGGCCGTGAAGCACAGGAGGCCCCTGTAACACTAAGACATGCTGTGGATAACACCACCCAAACACCGCAAGATTGCTGTGGGATCAACCACCAAACTTGGCCGCTCAGACCGCTTTTACCTCTGAACTTGTACCCATAAGCGGTGTTTGTATTTATGCCATTCATTCGTGGTGCATTAGCCTGATGAGGAACCACTGAAAATGAGCTTGTATGGAGCACTGAGAAAGTAAGTACATCTATGGGAGAATAAGCTAATAGAAAGTTCCCGAATTCTAGCAACAACTAGCACGCGTAAACTCGTGTGTTGGCCATTCAACTGGTGCGCTCCCTGAAAGAACTCGAAACAGGTCATTCACATTAGTGGACTCCAAGACAAATCGCTCTCGTGTGTGTCATCCAATCAGCTTCAGGCTGCGTGCGGCCGATCTTCACTGGACTATTTGAGAGAGGACTAGCTTCGAGGACTGCTATGTGCGGGTTCCATTAACAGCATAACATACATGGTTTGTCTGAAAATTGATATCAATAAGTTGATTAAAAAAACATTTATGGATTCGATCAGTACAACAGATTTAAAAGTTTCAAAATAGGTTCCATCTGCGTAGATACACCGCTATACAGCAGGATTTCCTGGTACCGAAGGCATCAGAGTAGGCCTTTTCTCGAATGTCCTTTAAGAGCCACTGTTCAAGCCCATTTCGTACTGCTAACTGTCCCGAAGTAAGGTCATTTCATGGGAGTTTTCAAGAGGCAAAACAAGAAGTCTGATGGAAACAAGTCAGGACTGTAGTGGTTGGGAAAACATTGGCACCTTTGAATCGGAAAAAAGCGGGTTAGGAGGAAGGCGGTGTGGCCAGCGCTTTGAAATGATGAAGTTTCCAATTGTCTGTGATGTCGAATAGGATACGTTGAACCTTTTCACATCTGCAGATTGTTCGTCACAATCTCGTGAAGGGTACACTTTTAGGAATGTTTAGTGCCTGTACCACTAAAAGAACACTCAAACGAGAGTCTGAGGTTAACAGCTCAGTCACACGCATCACATTTCCGCTGTCATCAGTATCAATACAAGTTAGCTGAGGGTGAACAACACATCTCAGCTAGCGTGCCGTAGCACAAAAGAACATAGAAGCAAAAAGTTCAAAAAGTGAGAAATTTAAATATTATATCACGTATGAAATATGAGATCGTGATTGGAGGGGGATGGACAAAGGAACACAACACAAACGCCATTGGGGCCGACTCCTAGCCATATCAACAAGTGTGTCCAACCAAACGTGTTCAGCGTCCTTCGGACCCCAGCCAGGCAGTCGGGATGCACCAACCGACGCCAACTTCGAAGTGAGGGTTGTCATTTCTCTCGACCAAGTCATCGTTTGGCTTACCTCCTCTTCTTCCAACCGCACCCCCGGCGCGCAAACAATGTAAGCCATGGGAGCCGGTGTGCTGGCATGCGCAACACTCTTCGGAGCCCGGTGCATGAGATAATGGTGCTGAGCGGTTCACTCGCTCTTCCTGCACCAAATACGCGACGCGGAAAACGCTCATTGCTCATACGGTGCTCCCACCAGACATGAACTAAGCTGCGGAGACAGCGATAGTCGAAGGGGACCAAATTCTTTAAGTCTGTCGGCCTGATGGGCCAGGTTTCAAAAGCGTATAACAGGGTTGAACGGACGGCTGCATCATACACTCTACCCTTCAGGAAACGAGTGATGTCGCGTCTGCGCCACAGGTGGGAGAGATTAGCAAAAGCACCTTGAGCTTTTGCTATACGGTTCGGAACCTCATCTTCGGTCCCACGGGTGCTAATATAGCTGCCCAGGTAATTGAATTCTTGAACGAGTTCTAGCTGACCCCCAACAAGGGTTAGCGCAGGGGCGGGTCCCTGCCAATCTTGGAGAGGTAATTTGCATTTCGATGGAGCGAAGCATAGTCCAAAACGATTGACAGCCCGTGCTAATCGGTCCAGTGCTGCTTGGCACGTTTGAGAGCGGTCACAGGTTAGGACAAAAGTTAAAGAGAAATAGTGACAGCCGGCAACCTTGTCTCACACCGCTGGAGATATTGAAGGGCGGCGACAGCTTGCTAAAAACCCTCACTCTGCCTGAACTATGCGCACAGCGCTCTGATACTGTTTACGTATTTATCAAGTACACCTTTCCTCACCAGACAGTTCCAAAGGGCACATCGATCAACCGAACCGAAGGCACCTTTAATGTCGTGAAACATGACCACTGTGGATCGCTAATAAAGATGGCAGTGCTCCAACAACTGATTTAAAGATGTGGTCGATGTAAACTTGGTTCCACCTGCGGTTGTCATTGATTGCTTTTCAGCGCAGACTTCAGCGCTGACCTATCCACAGCAATCCAAAATACATTTGTAACACCGGCAGAGTTGATGTTCCGAAAAAGAAACAACACCACTGGCCGTCCTTATCATGGGAAAAGTTTCCAGTGCCAATCTTTTACTTCGTAGAGCGCTGCAAAAAGGAATTTAACGAAAATGGCGGTCCTTACACTGTAGATGATTGCAGATGCCTGAACAATTTTGCGTGCGTAAACTGACCCCTCCCTCCATCGATCCCAACCAGCCCGAGCGCATTGCAATGCATACTCACTTCACAGTGAATTCACTGACACTACTTTTCGGACAGATCCTGTATACCATGGTGAAATGGGTATCAGCATTAAACTAAGACTTGTATTCATATCTATATTATACACAATCTGTGGTACAGATATTGTGCCATCGGAATCATGGCTGAATAGGAAGACAGTATGAATAATAAGAAAGAGCAACAACAACAAAAGCTTTTTTTGCCCAGTTTACCACTCATAGTTTTTGGAATTGTTTCAGTTTGTTTTCTTTAGCGGGAGGAAAAAGGGACACCGCAACACACGGATGCACACGTCCGCCACTGACATCGATCTTGAGCCATGGCTTCCAAGGTCCGCATCTCTCGGACCCAAACCAGGTAGTCGACAACAACCAGCCGAGGTCAAGTGTTTCGTCAGCTTTTTCATTGTCTTCTCCATGTTGTAGGCTGTCCACCAGACCGTCTTCTCCAGCCCTGTCCAGCAACCGCAAACAACGCACGACGGGGGTAACGCTGGACAGGCATGCGCAAAACGTGTCCCAATCACCGCAGTTGATGCAGTGAGACGAGCTCCTCGAGCGAGTGGCTTCCACGTCCAAAGACGCGCTGTCTAACTTCCAAATTGCTTACGTGGTGCTGCCACCACACACGGGCAATGGACAGAAGACAGCGGTGCTCGAAGACGGATAGCCTGCGCAAGTCAATGTTACGAATGGGCCAGGTCTCGCATCCGTACAACAGTACAGCGCGAACAGTTGCACAATAGACCCGCCCTTTGATGGAGAGACGAATGTCGTGGCGACGCCACAAGTGCCTCATGCTATACTGCAAGGCAACCGTAAGCGACTGAATAGAGGGCTGGAGTACACTGTAAGGGTAGCAAAGCAGTTGTTGCAGCCAATGAACTATGGGCCACATTGTGAATGCGCATGCTAGGGTATACAGTTGACAGTTGGGAGGGGAGTAAAATATGAGCAATGTTGCTGAGTTCGATTACTCAAAAAGCATGAGATGAAAGAAAAGATGTACAGCGAGTGTAGTGAAACCTTTGCGCTCACATTGAATTATGTCAATGTACCCCTTTTCCACTTCGTTTTGAATTCCAGAGAAAACATTATGGTTGTAGCAACTCCCCCGCATGTATACAAACTTTTTTTGACTCGAACCCTATTCAGCAGATTTGCAATTTCACATATGACATAAATCCTCAATGCCTAACTTTCCCACTTCTCGAACTATAGCGTTGTTAAGCGCTCATGCCTTCGTGTATCTGTGCGCAGCGAATTGACCCTACCATATATATAGCTTATAATGCATACTAATTAGTTGGACTATCGAGTCTTGCTTCCTTGGCCGTGTGATTAAGTGTACTTAAGTTTACTGGTGCCGCGTATCAGGCATCGCTGCCTGTCCGTTGCAAAAGGAGAACAGAATTGTTTGACATTTTGTGGTCTGGACATTGTTGAGGTAAGCCTTTACACTGTTGCTCTAATCCTTGGTAAAATAGTACCATAGCTGAAATTCAGCTTTGACTGCTGATTTGACCTGGGGTTGCTACACGTTGTTCAAATCCACAACCAATTTTGAGGTTACACCAAGCTGTTGTCACTCGTCGCCAAACTGACCGAAGTTCACTTCGAAGGAATTCGTGGTCCAGATTGAGATAGCATGAGGCAGTCCATTCACACACACACACACACACACACACACACACACAGTGATTACTATTTAAAATGGTTCACAATAAGCTGTGCCTTCTCTATGTCGGTGACAACCGGTGACGTCTCTGTACCAAACCAACTGAGCGATGCATGCTTCACAGCGCTCAATTGCCCTTACTGGAAGTGAATATGTATAAGTTGGACTACATAAAAGCAGCTTTCTTGAGATATCAAAACACGACAGATACACTACAACCCAAAAATATGTCAGTAAAATATGAACTCAGTCGACGAATTTCTTCGTCATTTTACCCACAGGTACTCACCGTAGTTCACGGTCCCACAGCTGCATCCGGATGGTGTTTACAATGCTTGGTTTACCCAATCGAATCACAATGTGAGCATCCGGATCATCCAACGAATGTCGAACAACATCATGTTCCGAGTGCGGTGGAGGCGGTGGATGCGACGTGAGACGATGTCGTGGATTAGACGGTTGTAACCAACGCATTGCACGACCCGACAATGCGTGCAGAGGAGCCGGCGGCTGAGAGCCGTTATCAAAAGCGACCGTGGTCGCACGCGTACCATCTAGTTGGTGACTGATTCGCATATATTGTGAATTCTCAGTACTTCGACGTTGATAGGAATTGGTAGTTCTTGTCCAAGAAGTCGGTAGGTTAGCAGTGGAAAATTGCGCACCAGCCGCATTTGCAGTCAGATGGGGTGACGACAGACTATTAGCCGGAAAACGTACGACATTCACTTTCCGGGATCCAGAGGGAAACGCGCGACCAGTATCTAAAGGTTAGCCAGGAGAATTTGCACGCAGTAAGACGGTACAAGGGGGACAGAATCGTGCGACCAATGTGGCACTCCTAAGCGGTAATCACGTTTGATGTACGAAACTATGTAGTTCCTGTTGAAAACAATATCGTTACCATCAAACCGCTGATCCCAATCAAAAGCTGAAGTATGTGGCCGTAACAAGTGCCAAAAACAGTATAAATCTACCGAAAATTTAGCTGCACCTTTGGGTCAACATGGCATCCATCAGTTAGTAAGTAGGACAACTGCGTCAACCGCCTAAATTAGTCGTGTCAAGCATGTTGAATGAAGGTAGAGGTGGAAGATACAAGCCATGCGCACAAAGCCAGTGTTACCAAGTGTGGCTCCTCCTTATTTGAAAGGAGGAAGAAAGAAAGATAAACTATACACAGATAAGCAGCAAAGAACTCATCACTTCCTTACCACATTCGGCACCTTGCGCCACTTCGGTTGCACCAGAGGCGGTAATAGGTACGTTGGAGCGAGAAAATTCTCCCTGCGAGGAACCGATGATTGCAGTTGGATGTGATTCGGGGGATATACGACCGTGACCTCGTGTTTCATCGTCGCAGTGACCCTCTTCTTCATCCTCGTCTACCTCGGCCTCCTCATCCAACTCCTCTAATTCCAAGTTTGACATATCATAGCCCGCCTCTAGGGCCCCAAAGGAGTATTGTAACTCGACCAAGTCGTTGACATCATCAGCGTCATCCACGAAGAAGTAAGGATAACTGCCTTCTTCGCCAGCGATAAGGGAAGCAGCAAAGCGGTGGGAAGCCAAATTGATGCCTGGTACTGAACGGGAACAAGAGCGAAATTGAATATATGGATAACCTGCGAGTTTCAATCTATGATACCCCATTGCCGTAAGTGAACAAGGATAGGTCTAAGAACGGAGGTAGAAATGCCGGTACTCAATTCGACGAGATAAATGAGAGAGGGGATGAGAAGTACTAAGTCGAATTTCGAACAAAGGAAAATTACACTAATCACTACATCCAGTTGCACACGACCAGCTAAAAATGGTAAGCATTTGAGTTTGAAGGCAAACATAATACATGGAAAATCAAGTTAAAAAAAGAAGTGCATAAAACAAATAAGAAATTGACTGCAGGCGCGCCGCTGGCTGAGAGATTGTGCCAAGTCCGACGTGGTATCTGATGGTGGCTGAAAGCTGGGGCAAAGCGAACCGCCCGCCTCAGTGTGGTCGATCAGGCGATCGATCGGGTGGCCGAGTGAGTTTTAACTACACTGCTAGTTGTACATTTGCCTCAGAATTGTGAATAGAGCGTTTCTGTGCAGAGTCGGTGCGAGTTCTTTCTGTCGATGTGGCTGGGTGAACCAAGCACAAAACATGGTGTCTGAGGTAGAAACGTGCTAAAACTTGCTCCCCATTGAGGAGCAATCAATGATCTCATTGCCAACCCCAGTAGAGATGAGAGAAAGCACATTGTCGGCCAAGTGAAAAGCGTAGAAAGCGAATTGGATGGAATTCGCGGTGTTGATCCAGTTGGATGAATATGCAAGACCATACCAGTTGGCAATGTTCAGATACTCCATCTGCTCTGAAGCAAGTCGGATAATGGAGGTCTGGGATCTTTGGTACAATGAACCGGATGTTTTGGAAAGTATCGAGCGTTTTGATTGATACGGTGAAGGTCGATCGTTTTTTTTACCCACTGCCGCCGAGTGGACGAGAATCGTTCAGTCGGGCCTGAAAGCGATCAACAGTCGCAAGAGCGGTTACCAAATAACTTGGACAATCAAGAAGCTCAGCATTACATTTCTGCAATACCCCAAATTCAATGATTACCAGTCCCGTCAAGACTTGATTCAAGAGCCACCGTGAGTACGTCGCTCGGGAAACAAGACAGCGGAATACAGTGTTGTGTGGGACAGTTGTCGCAAAAGGCGGAACGACTTCATGGTGCACCCAAAGAGGAAGGCTGTGGTGGACGCCCTCAAGAAAGTAAAAAATAAACTTATCGATGTCAAAGCGACGCATGAGGATCCTTATCTAATGCAACTGGGAAGGAATGCGCGTTCTACCGTATTCGGCAGCAGTTTAGTGCAGCTCCAATTCAGTCACAGAATACACTGCAAGCTCGTCCGCAGTGGACGGGGATATGGAAATTGCAACACAATAACGACGAAAGAAAGACAAAGGAAAGGATGTGATGGTTGCTGAAAGCTGCGGCGAAGCGAACCGCCTGCCTCAGTGCGGTCGATAAGACGATAGATCGAGTGGGCGAGTGAGTTTTAATTACACAGCCAGTTGTACTTTTGCCCCCGATTTGTGTATAGAGCGTTTCTGTACAGAGTCGGTGCGAGTTCCTTCTGCTGACGTGGCTAAAAACCAACAGGTAGACCTCAGTATCGCTCACTAAGTGTTCTCACCAGATGCAAGCAATATTCCGAATGCACTGCGGATTAAACACCGCCAAACATTTATTGTCTTCATTGTGAAATGGCCAGGTCTTTAGTCAATACAATTATACCGATCATCAAACCTTGCTATGGCAAGCTGATATCACGCCGCTTTCAAAGAAGGTCGAACATCTGAAAAACCACACGGGCTTTAGTACTGGTTGACGTGACGACCAGGGGTGATACAACTATCGAGATAAGTGAACCTGTTGATCACTTCCACTGATTGTTCGCAGATGGCAAGATCCGGTGTTGGTAGGACCAGTCCGGTGGCAGTTTGAAGGTGCGCGGTGGAAGCCGGAATACGCAGCGCTGTCAGTCTAGGCAGTATTAGTTGCATAACCACTAGGTCCAACCCAAGGAGGGCTATGTCGTCCACATACTCAAGGTTTGTCAGCCGAACACCTGGCAGTACTTCTAACAGAAAAGTTGAGAGTACGGAGTTGAAGAGGAAAGGAAATATAGGATAACCCAAGCCATTCGCACTTGTCGTGAAGAAGTCAGGAGACAGCTTCTTCCAGATCCTTACTCGGTCGCGGGGATCGCTACAGAGAAATTGCAAAAGGTGGGGTTTTTCTGGCAAATGCTTCACGGATAAGCGGTGTCATAAGCTGGCGCGATCAACAGAGTCGAAGGTATCTTTCAGGTCAAGGAAAACCACCATAGGCGGCTTCTTGTGCGTTGCTGCCCAAATACATGAAGAAGAGTACAAATGTGGTCAAAGCATCCAGGAGAATGTCAGAGGTCAGCTTGGATTCCACTGATTCAGATCTCATGATGGCCAGTAAATCGAGGAAGAATGATACAAGTTGAAAACTTGGAAGCAATGGAAATTAGGTATAGGTGCATTTTAAACAATCATTTGACCATTACTGAAGGTGAGAGCAACAAAGAGAACTCCCTCGACGTTAGCTTTGACGAGACTCCCAAGACGCTGTTACAGACATTTGGCGAATGGTTCTCACAGTTCTATAACCGATTCTAATGTCTCCAGTCGGTCTAACGTTGTGCCGAAGACCTCATCCAGTACGCCGACAGGGTTAAACCTGAATGCAAACAATTTCACCTCGTAATTCTCACGGAGGACCAGGTCAAATGCCTGATCCTCATAAATAATCTTCAGTGCGGACGCGTCTCTCAATCAGGATGTAGCAGTACAATCATATTCCATAAAGTGACAAATACTGATCAATATGAAGCACGATTTCACGATGACCCGGAACACTTCCGCACCAGATTTAGTCCAGTAAGACGTATTCTGTGCAATATGCCCGATCACATAGAGCTAAATCCGTACTCTCTCCATGCCGATTCTGTACTGCCTTGCATTTCCATCGAGACTAACTCTCGCCAACACCGATGCCAAGTTGTTGCCGCACGAGTGGGCTGTCTTTCACCAAGCGAGCACTATCTTGGAGGTAGTGTTGGCCTCAGTAGCAGTCGAGCAGACAATGGAGACAGGTTACTGACTCTTTCTTCTGAGCATCGCTTGTTGCTTTCGATCACCAGTTTTCAACACTTGAAGAGACAAACTGCTACCTGGTACCCGCCTTCTCAAATGCAAGAGTTGTCCCCGCTTGACCACATAGCAATAAGCTACAGATAGTGCGAAAGTGTACCAGACTGTCGTTCGCATTTGTCATCACATCCGGACTCTGATCACGCATTGGTTCGCGCGAAGTTATGAATGCGTTGCGGAGGATCGCCTAGGCGTACGCACAACACATTACAACGTTAGCCGAATATCATAACTCCCTACCAACAGTGCTTATCCCAGCTTCTGACGACCATCGGAATTCACAGTGGATGCGTAACAAAAATCCCTGTTTCTGCTAGCACTGACAGATGCAGTACCCATCACCCACCGAAAAGCAGGGTCACCGCAATCTCAAGGACGTTGATGAATAGATGCCGATTCTAGCTGTAGTGAAGAATTCCGATTACTAGATCGAGAAGTGTGCAAGAGTTTACAAAAAGACCGTGAAACCTGGGGCAGTGAAGGTGCTAGAAAGATGGGAATCGCTAGGTACTCTGGTAATACCAGAAAAAGTTTCTTACCCGAGTAACCGAAAGTTTCCGGCCTATGGTAAGTTAAACAATGTGCAAAGAGGATGGGCAACTAATAACTAATCTGTAGCGACGGGCTGGAACAATTGGCGGAACATTTCGGCTCGCACTTTCGCTGACCGCCCGTGCAAGCTACTTCCCCTGGAATGCTCAACGGTGTCGACTGTTCCACTCCCAGTGATCTACACTAACCAGTAAAGCTGGCATTAACTCCGCCTCTTGCAGCGCAGCCCTATTTGAAGATGGTGGCCCTTCGCTGGTTCAAGGCATAGCTTTGTTTCCAGAAGTCTTGATAAAAGGAGGTTCGATCGTCTTCGGTGAGTCAATAGCCGTCAGCATTTACAACAATGGCCTGCGTACAATACACTCCAACTACAAGGGCATCATCTTGGTCCTTGTCGTTTGCAAGTTTCTGATGTCCATCATGCTTCAAGAGTTATCTCTAATTCGGAAGTCACTGCATTAAGAAGTAAAGGTTGGGTTGCGCCCCGGTCGCAGCAATAGCGATCAAATGTTCACGCTCCCCCAGATCCTCGAGCTCAGCCAACGATTGCTGTGATCTTGGATATCAATGCTTCCTTCGATTCTGTCGACAGGACCGCATTGTGGTACCGTCTGTTGTAGAATGGCATCCCCGGGAAGTTCGTTTCCGTACTGCTTGCTATGTACAGAGTGACCTCGGATACAGTTGGGGCTTATGAAAAGCTTTCGCCTTCCTTTGTTGTCACCAGTGGGGTACAACATGGTTTCCCTGTCTCCCCATTCCTCTGCAATTTTGCTTTTGAGGACGACCCCAAAATGCATTGAAAGACTCGTTGAACGATGGAGTTTAGCTCCTCCCAGGTAGCCAAGTTGTTGACTTGGACTAGGCTGATGAGGATGAACATGCTGGTAGAGGTTCTATAGGCCATCCAACTTGTACGAACCGCTTGGCAATTGAAGCGTCAAAGTATGGAATGACTTTTCCCCCATTCAAGTGCAAAGCTCTTTTCCAAGACTTCCAGATGTCTGTATCTACACTCACTCTTGGTGTTGAGTCATTGGAGATCATGGAGAATTGTGTCTATCTGAGAAGCTGCATCACCATCGGTGGAACTGTTACAGACGAGATCAAAAGAGCTCGTTTCGCTCTCTTCAGACTTACACAGTTGCGGCGCCGACTTGACATCCGTCGATCCAGCGAAGGGTGGGCATATTGTGCTACTGTCCGCGTAGTACTGTCTTACGGTCGAGAGACTTGGCCTGTTCGCACTGTTGACCTGAGCTGACTGTCTGTCTTCGATCACTGTTGCTTGCGATCT